GGTGCGCCGGTCGGACGGCGGCGACGACGACGACGGCGGCGGGGACAGCGGGGACAGCCCGGCTGCTCCCGAGGCGGTGCCGCGTGGCGGCCCCAAGAAGAAGCAAGGTCTGCGCTGAGCGCCCCATCGCGCCTGCACGCCTGCCGGCCCCGACTATGACTTCCTTTGAGTGAAACCCGCTCGACTGTGCGGGAAAGGAGAGAAGGGATGAACGTCCAGAGGGTCTTGGGGTGAAAGCAGCACCTAAATGCTTCTCCTCTCCGTCCTTAGCCGTCTGTGTGGGCCCCGCTTGCCTTCCTCTCGCCCATGCACCACAACACCCATTTCCCCGAAGTCTCCAGTTTAGGAAGTGGCAGAAGTCTAGTGTCCAGTGCGAGGTAGTTTTTTGTGGTTTGTTTTTCAAGACAGGGTTTCTCTGTGTAGTCATGGCTGCCCTGGAACTCGTTCTGTAGGCCTCGAACTCACAGAGATCTGCCTGCCTCATCGTCCGGCTCCTTTTAATTGTTCGGAAGTTGGTATTTTGCCATCTTGTATTGCGAGTCTGCTCCGCGCGTCCTCTGACCCCGGGCTTCAGCAGCACCTCTGCAGTGCACATTCGATGATCTTCTAGACTCATCTGCCTGAACTCACTCTCTAGACCTAGGGTGGTTTTGAAGTGCGGGAGTAACTGGGAAATGTCACCTGTGAGCTAGGTTTAGAGCTGGTTCTGATGTTTTCCTAGCCATGTATCACCTCTCTGAGCCCACCTATCACATTTGTAAAACACATAAAATTAGTTTACCTAGCTGTTCAGAGGAATGTCATTCTTTTATCCTTTTTTATTATTTATTATTTGTTTTTATTCTATTTTATTTTTGAGATAGGGTTTCTTTGTATAACAGCCTTTAGATGTTCTGGAACTTCCTTTGTAGATCAGGCTGGCCTCGAACTCACGGAGATTCACCTGCCTCTGCCTCCAAATGCTGGGATTAAAGGTTTGTATCACCACGCCGGGCTTAGAGAGAACTCTTCTGTCATGGTAATTCCACCTGCAGGCAAGGTTCCCGGGTCAGCTTTTCTCTGAGCCTGAGCACGCCCACCTGGCTTCCTCTTTTCTCTGTTCAGCTGCTCTCCGACCTTGGGTGCGGCCCCCTGACTTTTCTCTTTCCTTGATCCTGATGGGGGGCTGGTGTCCTTTTGCCCCACAGTATATATACCCGACTTATGCTTAATAAAGCTGCCATTTGCCACTTGCTCCTTGGCAGATGAGCCTGGTCTCTTTGTGTGTGTGTCATGTATTTTAACCCCTAGGACAGTCGTCCGTTCTCGTGGGCTCGAGTCAGGAAAAGCGCGCGCCTGTTTCGAGGTTCGGGTGTCCACAGAAAAGTGCGGAAGCTTACAGCCGGGTTTATCCCAATTCTTGTTAACATTCTTTAGTTTCGTAATAAAGAAGGTCTTGCTATTATTTGACCCTGGCTGACCTCAAACTGGCAGCAATTTTCCAGCCTCAGCCTACTTGGGGGTTATATATGGGACCACACTTGACTAGTTTTTTCCCTCAGAAATGGAGCTAGGAGATGAGTAGTGGCGGCATATGCCTTTAATGCTGTATTTTAGTAGTGTTGTTGATGGGCTTGATGGAGAAGGACTTTAATCCTGGCACTCAGAGGCAGAGGTTTGCAGATCTTGATCTCTGTAAGTTCCAAACTAGAGCCAGGACTACATAGTAAGACCCTAAAACCTTATCAGAAGTGTGTGTGTGTGTGTTGTGTGTGTGTGTGTGTTGTGTATGCATGTCTGTAGGTTGTAGGTGTCCGAGGAGGCCCCACTCCTCAGCCCACTTTTTTTTTAATTAACTTATTTTTATTTACATGCATTGGTGTTTTGCCTGCATGTATGTCTGTGTGAGGCTGTCAGATCTTGGAATTACACAGTTGTTAGCTGCCAGGTGGTCCCCACCCCCCTTGTTTTTTGAAACAGGGTTTCTCACTGGAACCTGGGGCTTACCAATACACTAGAACTAGTAGGAGCCAACCATCTTCCTCTTCCCACACCCCAGTGCTGGGGTGATAGGTGTGACCATTATGCCTGGCTTTTTACATGGATGTTGAAGCTGTAATTCATGGCCTGTTGGAACACACGCATGCATGCACACACACACACTAAATGAATAAACTATAAGTAAAATATCAAAAACAAAAAAACCTCTGGCAAAAAGCTGGACATGGCATATACCTTTAGTCCCAGCACCCAGGAGGCAGAGGCATGGGGATTTCTGTTTTAGGCCAGCATGTCTACAGAGTGAGTTCAAAGATACATAGATAAACCCTGTCTCAAAATAAAATAAAACAAACAAACAAAAAGTAAAATGTTTAAAAAAGAAAAAATGGAAACAATTGAAGGGATTTGGGAGAAAAGGAATATAATTTTTGTTTGTTTGCTTTTTCAAGACAGGGTTTCTCTGTGTAGCTCTGGCTGTCCTGGAACCAACTCTGTAGACCAGGCTGGCCTCAAACTCACAGAGATTCGCCTGCCTCTGCCCCCAGAGTGCTGGGATTAAAGGCGTGCGCCACCACTGCCCGCTATATTATATTTTAAAAGAGGTTTCAGAAATAAATTCTATATAACTGTCACTGATTTTTCATATTTTTATTTATTTTTGAGACGGCGTCTTATTGCATAGCCTTGGCTGACTTAGAATTTGCTTTATAGACCAAAATGGCCTTGAATCCACAAGAGATCTGCCTGCTTCTGCCTCTCAGGCACTAGGATATTTTTTTATCATGTCTGGATATTGTAGCAGGCTTTCTTTTGGGCCACCAACCAGCTTCCAAATCATGACACGGAGATTTAATATTAATTATGAATGCTTGGCCTTATCTTATGCTTGTCCCGCTAGCTCTCATAACTGAATTTAGCCTTTTTCATTTTATGTTTTGCCTCGAAACTTGTTACCTTTCATTCTGTATGTCTACTCTCACCGTTTCCTCCGTGGCCAGTCGGCCCTGGGTGTTTCTCTCTCTTTCTCCCTTGTTCTCTCTCTCCTCTCTGGAGCCTAGATTCTTCCTCCTACTTATTCTTTCTGCTTGCCAGCCTCACCTATCCCTCCATTTCCCAGCTACTGGCCGGTCAGCTTTTTACTGGACCAATCAGGTACCTTAGGCAGGCAAGGTAAAATAGCAACGCATCTTTTACATAGTTAAACTAATATAATAGGTAAACAAATATTCCACAACAGAACATTTTTTATTTTTATATTGATACACTCACATGGCATACACGCTTATGGAGTCAGAACAATTTTTGGTAAGCAGTTCTCTCCTTCCACCACATAGATTCTGGGGCTGAAACTCTGATAGCAAACAATCCTACCTGATAAGCTGTATCCCCAGCCTCTGATTTTATCTATTTTTATTTTATTTTATGTGTGTGTGTGTGTGTGTGTGTGTGTGTACACCTTATGTATGTCTAGTGCCCTCCAATACCAGAAGAGGGCATTGGGTCCCCTGGGTGCTCTTTCCCCCACTTTTTTAAAGGACAGCATCTTACTGTGTATCCTCTGCTGCCTAGAATTCCTATGTAGGACTCAGCTGGCCTAGAACGTAGAGAGTTCTAGCTCCTGAGTACTGGTATTAAAGGCATGTGTCTCCATAGCCAGTTCAAACCACATTTTGAAACAAATGAAGTTTTCAAATAAATGGTGAGTCCCACGCCAACATAACATGTTCTCTGCATTCTGTCTGCTCCTTTTCCCTCTTCTTGGGTCTTTCACCGGCCCCACCAGTCGCTAATGCTCGGCCCAGTTCATAAACATGGTGCCCTGTGGTTTCCCCTGTATTGCTCCCGGCTTCACAGTGTGCTCCGCCCTCTCCCCGGCACACTGAAGGAGGAAGACCCCTGCTGCAGGTTTCAGGGGAGGACATTGCTTCTCAGCAGAGCTCACAGCATCACACTCCACTCCCAGCCCTGCAGGGAGTGGAGCACTTCCTTGTTTGAGCTCCTCTTTGGACTTTTAAAGCACAGGACTCATAAAACCCAGACTGCCTAAGATCTTACAGTTCATTTGCTCTTCAAGACTCCCTGCCTCAACGTCCATCCTGCCAGGACTCCAGAATTACAAGGTCACATAGTAGGTGGAAATACAGAATTCCCAGCTCCCAGGAGGATCTGAGTACCCAAGCCCTGATCCTCACAGCTGCCTTCTCCTGGCCTGGCCCTAACACCGCTCAGCCCAAGGATCAGTGTGGAGCCCATCATACAGCAAGGCCTGACAGATAAATTTCAAGTCCCTCTTCATTTGACAACTGCCCTTACCACTGAATAATGCCCATTCTACTTAGAAAAACCAAAATGAATCAAAGAGGGTTCAGCCCGTACAAGTACTTGAGGCCTAGCTTAACTACTGGTTTCAGTACCTGAGACTCACATGATAGGAGAGAACCAATGCCCCTGTCTTCTGACCTCTACAAGCATGCTGTACCATGCATACTCCACACACACACACACACACACACACACACACACACATGCACGCACGCACGCACACACACACACACACAACAGATAAATAACAAAGTAATAAGAACCATAGTCTTCCATGCCTCTGAGGGCTTGCCCTGTGCCAGGTGCTATGCTAAAGCCCTGTGCAGGCGTTTATCAATTCACTAAAGTTTATGCTCACAAAACTTCGATGTGGATATAGTTATCACTTCCATTTACACATGAGAAAGCAGTCTGACTTTATATATATATATATATATTATTTTATATATATATATATATAGAAAGCAGTCTATTTTATATAGGTTATAAAATGAGAATGTGATCTGATTGACTTTAATCTCTAGGTCAAACTTCCTCGTCATACACAAGACACATACACAAAATGCAAGGAATGTTTATTGAGGGAACTGTCACGTGCAGAACCCTGGGTTAGACGATATCAGGGCAAGGAGCTTATGGATCTACCAACTGAATAGGAACATGAGAAACTTGTACTGTTGGGAAGTTGGAAGAGGCTTCAAAAGACAAAAAGAACTCTGCTAGAGAGTGACGGGGAGGGAAGAGGTAACCAAGAAGAGCCTAGCAGGAGACAGCAAGAGTGAGCATGGCAGCCGCAGGAGGAAGCAGCAGGCCCATCATCAAGACAGCAGTGGAAGATCAGCCCTGGAAGCTACGTGGATATCATTCTGGAGGACTGACAGTGAACAGACACAGGCCGGATAGAGTGGAGCATGTCTGTAAACACTTGAGAGGTAGAGGCAGGAAGGTTAATAGTTCAAGATGATCCTTGGCTATAGAGGTATCCTGGGCTCTATAGGATATATAGGCCTTGTCTCAGAGGGGGGAAGAGGGTGGGGCAGACTGTTGGGAAGTTATGAAGCCTTTGAGCAGAAGAATACCCCAAGTTGATGTTATAAAGGGTTTGGCCAAGGAGCCTCCAGGAGCACCTGCTGGGCAGCTGTGGATGGGAACCATCCAGTTTCCTATAACTCTGGCATTGATGGGATAGCACAGCCGGGCACCAGAACTGAGTCCCTAGGGCATTTGCTAGAGCTCACAGCCTATGGAATTCAGTTCTCAGAGCCAGGTGGCTGGTGTTGTCTCAGTCTGGACGCTGCCCTCCAGAGCGCTCTTCTGTGAATTATTTTTACATTTATTTAGTTTGTGTGTGTGTGTGTGTGTGTGTGTGTGTGTGTGTGTGTGTGTGTCTGTCTGTCTGTCTGTCTGTCTGTCTGTCTGTATGGGCATGTGAGGTCAGATGGTTTTTCCATTCCACCCTGTGAATTTCAGGAGCACCAGATTTTGTGGTAAGTACCTTGAGCCATCTCAATTGGTTCCCTTCTGTAAATGTTCCCCCAATCCCAACATGGACAAATTGAGATTCGGGATGTAGCCTGGGATCTCAGAACACTTCCTACCCACTCAGCTGTGGGGTGCTGAGCTTGGAGAGTTGGAAATGGGATCCCATAGTAGAGAAATGGACAAGAGCTGGAGCCAAGCATGAGGAGAGGGGCTCAGGGTATGCCAGGGACTAGGCATTGCTGTGGGTCCTTTTATCGCCTGCCCAGATGTGTTCGTGGTGGGCCGGTGTAGGGGCGAGAGGGGTGAGAGTCGGGGGGCAGCAGACAAAACTTCACCTGACTATCTGTAGTTGGAGGAGCTTCCTCAGCTAAGGGGGATTGCCAAGATGGCGGCTCAGGAGTGTTAGCTCCAGAAAATGCCCCCCTTGAATGACGTCTTGAGTGTTTGGGATAGCTAAGGGAAGGAGGAAGGCTTCCCTGGAATGCACTTCCAATCTTTGGAGAGGTAAATGACAGCTGGGTGCTATCCTCACAGGTCCCTGGAGAGGGAAAGCCAAACCAGCAGACTCGGGAGTCACCCTCCCCACAGCCCTGCTGAATCCTGGGAAAGGAGCAGCACTCACCCACAGATCCTCTTCTCTGGTATCCCCGGGGCTGGATCTGCAAAAGCCAACTGTGTGGAGCTCCTTAAATAGGCCCTCCCCCTGCCCCAGAGCCCCACCCACCCTTGCAGGCTCTTCTGAGAAAGGAGGAAGGTGTGGGAGGGCCAGGCATGCTGTCT